AAATTCAGGCGAAACGAATTTTATGAGACGTTCACGATATTATGTGATCTAGAACGGTGATCACGTTGATGTAGATGGGGCTATCACCACTAGACGCCCACTTGACGCCCAGCTTCTGTGAGTCTTCTGAAAGTTCGCCGGACAACACATGTCGGTTTTGGTATGCGATGTAGCTGTGGGTTCAGTACGAAGTAGGTGCGAGAACCACACCTACGTGAACATCTAAACCTATATCTAAATTGCACGATAGCATGTGGTATACTGCCGTTGGCAGCAACATTGCCTTTTTGTGTGTCTGCTGATATGCCTATTTGGTATCCTGCTTCGGCGGAGTCATTGGGATATGAATACAACAGAGAACACTTGAAATATGACACTGACTTTCACAATTATATTTGATGATTTGTATGACCGTTTTCGTTTCTTTTTTATTTGGTTTCCTTACATTTTTCCGCCTGAATGGCCAAAGTGTGAGGCTACTCGCATGAGAGAAATAAGCTTTTGCAGCCTAATACAAGTGAAAGTATATGTGTTAAGATCTTCGCATGCACGGACAGAGCGAGTGTGGTTATCTGCCAAAAGGTCGTCTCCCTCACTCTGCAGCCGCGGGCAATTGCGTTCGTGTGAAGAAAGGATCCTTCCCCAAACAATATGATGACGATAAAGACAGCATCATCTTTCCGCGTGTCCCCTCCCCCTTCAACCTACGCTACGTCCTGATACGATGGCTCCGTATCGTGCAATTTTAAACAATCACTACATTGCCAGCTGAGCCAGAATGCTCCACATGTGCTTCATTTTACACTCCGTAACATACGCAGCGCTACATCATTCCTCTTCATATAGAAAAAAAACAAGCAAAATCTCTAAAACAAACTGATTTTAGTGACTGTTGGCAGGCAACTTGAGCCAGATTAGTTTTTTTGAGTCGCTATGTTTCCATGCACTTGTTGTCTTCTTACTATCCGATACGAATAATGGCGAGTATTGTTTCTTTTTTCATTATAATCTAAGGTGAGAGCTAACAACTGCGTTTGCATTCCTCGCGCACTTTTTCTTTCTTCGCCTTTCGTTTCTGGACACGCTTCAATTATCGGCAAAACTATTACAAGTGCGAGGCCACCAGGCGTCCCCGCCCTGCAAGCAGTTTGCGTGCGGCAAGCCTCGACGAGCCAATGTGGTCCGGATTGGCGAAGTAGGCTCGAGAATGCGCGTGCCACGCAGCCAGCTTGCCACGAAGCGAGCCGCTCGTTTTTGTTGCAAGAAGGCCCACATCCGCCGTGATAGCCCGCCGAATCGGGTTGGTTTTCACGACGCCTATACGGAATGATCAAGCAGCAGGGAAATGGGGCTTGGTTCGCGCGTTCTTGCCTCAGTGCATTGCGTTCAAAGCGTTAGGTGCGCGCTGATTACGGTGGCTCACGTGTGCGCGAGTGGGTATGCGTAGCCCTGCTTTTGTCACGAACCACCAGCGAGCTACGAAAGCGCCTGCCGAACGTCCTCGCGCAGCTTAATGCCCCCTAAACAGATACACAGTAGAATTTCACGCACAAGGAATTAACTGGCAAACCACGAATACCTCGTTATGCTGAGCACTATAGAAAGTAGAGCGGCGGAGGTATGCCTGTCAGGAGGAGTTTGAGCGATACCTGTGATTGATGATTAGCTCTTTACGACTGTATGCGGAAGAAAGTAGTATTTGTCAAATTTTGCGACAGTGCGCGCGCGGTGTCTTTGTGCTCACTGAAGCGGAGGTTGCTTTTCTGCACATCTAACATACGAGCAACGGGTACCTGAACCTCTGCTTGCTTGAACTGGACTATGTTTATATGCTTGTAGTGGAGTAGTCTTGCTCATAATTTTTCGCATCAGCATGACCACAAGTTCGGTGCGTTCTTCGTTGGCATAGTTTGATTTTACGGCGCCTCACAGCACAGGGCGATCACTATGAAACAAAACTTTGCACTCTTTGTGCTTCACTTTCATTATGCCTTCTCGGTCATAGTCAAGTTTCTACAAAATGGGCAAACACATAAGGTCAGCATGCTGCCACACACACTTGTCACTGTGAGCTCACCGCGTATAAGTATACAGAGAAAGCAACGTACAGTTCCGCCGTGTTCCACGAATATGTTATTTCAGTCGTTGAATGGTTTTCTGCACACCTTATAGCGGTTCACAACGCGAATGCGTTGTTATGAGCATCTTTGAGTACTGCATGCTACTTTCTCTAGATTTACACTATTCTCCTCCCCCACTTAGGGGTGACTTTAATGACATTGTGTAAACAGCTGCAGAGCGTTAGATAATGCACTGAGCACACCACGTTTAATAGGCGCTACACCTCTTCTTTTTAGCTCTGCAAAACGAACATTTTAGAGCGGCTATTCGCGTGTGGTAGCACCTGAAAACCAACCGGTGTACCACCCCCCTTCCCGACTTGCCTTTATCTTCCTCTTCATTAATAACTGTGTGTGCATGTAGGGGTAGGGGGAGGCAAAGGAGGTGTATCCTTTTGCACTGAGCGCATAACGTGTGTGCGCTATTGTTATCAGAAGTACGGCACACGTTAGGTCTTGAAAATTTTGTGAATCACCGCAGTACTAAAATCTCGTCGTAACTAAATCTTAAGCGTATGCATTTATTTTGTGATAAATCGTAAATGCTTCGGAAGCTTTGACATAAACTAGAAGAATTACAATCAAAAATGCGTTGTAATATGTAGAATTTCTTAAGCGCCTCGCTTCGAGTATACGACTTAAGTGCATTCATTCTTGATAAGCACTGACGAAAAATTATTTCGAAAGATTTTTAAGTCAGCTCTAATTTTGCAGCTTAATTTTGGGCTTCGTGCGAATCACTTTGCTTCATAACTAAATCGGATTTTAGCCAAAGGGGAGACACCGTTTATATCAGAGCACACTGAAAATGACCGAGAGATCAAATATCGTTCACCGCATACGCTGGTAGCTGGGCGCAATAGCTTATTTTATGCCTTGGTCTGGAGACACCCAGGAAGTTCGCTAATTGGGACAACGGGACGAAGAAACCGGAAATAGTAGTAGCGGATGGCGTGGTGCTACTAATATGTCGTTCATTCCTCGTAAAAACCATTTTATCATGCGATGTCCGTTCAGGGAAGAGGAAAAAAGAAAACTACTCTTCAAAACTTCTTCTCACGTTTTATCACGGAAAGAGGCCCAAATATGTTCGCGTACTCGGTATCACGGTGCTATTGCTTTTGTTTTGCTTTTTTATTGAAAAGGTACGTGTGTTGCTTTCATTTTAGAACCGGCTTCAATCTCTCGAACGCAGCAAACAGCCTGAGGCGAGTAATTATAGGCTGCAAAAAAAGATAGATGGCGCTAATTCGCAAGTGAACTGGAGCCAACGACCTTTCAGCTGGCAACTGTAGCACCACCACTATAGGTGCCGAGACAAAAAAAGGGGGGGCGGAGAAAGTAAAATAAACAAGAAAAAACTGGGGGGCGTTGCTCTGAGAATTGCCAATGCTCTTTGATTTGTTTGGGCATGGAGAAAACAATGAAGGACCGAAATTACATGATTCCACTTTTTACAGTATATCACTAGCGTCCTACAAAAATATGCTGCGCAATTATCATCACAGTAACTGTAATCCGACAAGGCACCAATGTCTGCACTGCCTAGGGGAACTTTATAAATAGTCGCAACTTCGCTATTGCATCATCCATAAAGTTTCCATGAAGGCGGGAAACTTTGTGCCATTACATTTAAGGCGAAACTTCAAAACCAGAAAATTTGAGATAAGAGCGCACTTGGCGAGAACGCAGAAATGCGAGGCAATGCTCCGCGATGGGCCAGCTTTATCGAGTGCGGCTGCTCAAATGCGCAACCTACGCAAACAAAGAGACGCCCGGAGGTGTCGGACATTACAGTGTTTGCACCGGCAATCTTGCCATGGTGGTGATTGTCCCGGGTGTTGAGGGTGCAGGCTGTTACACTTATTCGTCAGGGTACAATAGTAACGCCATCTATATCTCTGAGATTACGTCTTGCCGTCCTCGTCCTAAGGCTGTCGTCCCAAGCAGACTGCCGCCAGGCACGTAGTTCCATACCCTACACAAGCCTGTTGTTCAACCTGTTAACACTTGGCAGAACAAACGATGACGCATATTCACCCACCTGCAACATTTTTTCTGACATGTCTACTGTCTCAATGCGGTGAACGTACTTATTTTTTGGAATGTTACAGTAATCATTGTTCTAAAATACATTGCATGTGAACTACGTTTCACACCTGTCACAAATTTGTGCGCTTGAGACAGGTACACAGAACAAAGGTTTGGAAATCTCCAATTCGCCCCGCCGCGGTGGTCTAGTGGCTAAGGTACTCGGCTGCTGACCCGCAGGGCGCGGTTTCGAATCCCGGCTGCGGCGGCTGCATTTCCGATGGAGGCGGAAATCTTGTAGGCCCGTGTGCTCAGATTTGGGTGCACGTTAAAGAACCCCAGGTGGTCTAAATTTCCGGAGCCCTCCACTACGGCGCCTCTCATAATCATATAGTGGTTTTGGGACGTTAAACCCCACATATCAATCAATCAAATCTCCAATTCGGAAATCTTCAATCGTTGCATAGACACATGGGTACTGTAATGACATTGGCGCTTGCCGGTGCCACAATCTTTTGCAATACTTTGCGCTGCAGTGCCAATCTTGCGATACGCAGTTTGACATTGCCCTTAGTATCACGCCATAAAAGGTGTTTCTTAATTGTTTATGTATTTGTTTCTTGTTATTATTGTTCATTCATTATGCGCCTCACTCAGTTATGGAACTGCCCCAAATGAAGACCACCAAGGCCGTGTTGTTCAGAACAGTGACATCGTGTTAAAACGTCATGGGCTTCTGCTCGGGCTCAGCTGGGCTTGTGCGGCGTTGTGCTCAATAATATGTCTGTAATGTTCGAATTATTCTTGTTGTGGAGGGCTCTACAGTGTTCGTTCGTGTTGTTCTCGCAGTGGTCACCTCATCGGGACTGATACCAGCCAACCTGTTCGAGGGCTCCCTAAGCAACCTGGGCAGCTACGAGCAGTGTCTGCGCACACGTGCGGTAAACAATGAAGGGGAAGTGGAAATCCAAGGACGATACTGTTCGCTATTCTTCCGACCGCCACCACTCTACTACAACCGCACCAGCGAGCAGTTCAAGGCCATGGGAGAAATGCAGGTATGCGACCGTTAATGAGTTATTCGCGTGCAGCATTACCTTGCAGCTGCACTGCTACTTGTGTCTAGTTTCGTAGTCAATCAAAGGAGGGTCTCGTGACCTTCTGCGCCTGTGGCTGCTAAAGTGTTTTGCTCTTAGGCACTGGGGTGCGTGTTTGAATTCAGACCCCTTCGACATCACTTAAAGGGAGACTATGGATTCCTAGACACCCGTGTAGATAGATTCAGGGCGAGAACCAGCGCGCTCGGCATGGTATGGTCGATGGCGTATACATAGATTCAGGAGCACGTTAAATAACGACAGTGGCCCAAAGCAAATCCTGGGTCTCACACTAAGGCGTACCTCATAATCATGCAATGGTTAGTAGTGGTATCTTTATTTCATTTCTTGGAATATAAGAAAAAAGAAGCAGAGGCAACAGGTGTTTCATACGCCTGACAAACGCCTCAAAACGTGTAGTTTGTCACAGATACACATTTCTTGCACATACAACAAAACAACAAAACATTTTGACATATCATGTACCACATGTGCGCTAACCAAGCAATACTGCAATAGAAAACAATCAACACATAATACACTTAACATACTGCCGATACACAAGTCTGACACATTAGAAAAATATATAAAAAAACAGGAACAAAACTGAATGCATCGTCTTACCACAATCGAATTCCAGTAATTGTTTGTCATGGTAATACCACACTTTCCGAACGCTAGTGAATATGCCGCCGCCCGATCTACCTACCCGTTTAATACAACAAATATTAGTGATGATACGTTATTTCTTTTTTCGTCAATATTTCTTTACCTTGTTTTTAAAATGTTCCTAGAGCGACGTAAAACTGCAAGCTATTTTTAAATTCATAAACTAATCGCGTTAATAAGTTTCACAGCGTTTGTTTTTTATAATTTGTAGTGGTTATGCGCAAACGCTGTGAGGTTCTTCTAGCAGGATAAAGCTGGTGATTTGCTTGTTGTTTAAACCACTTCTTTTTGTGTACGTTTTGACGCAGTTTGAAGTAATATATTTGGTTCTGGCTTTTCTTGTTTATGAAAGAGCACTGAAGTGCACAGTCTATTCTACCATAGTAATGTTTATAACAGTGAAGTATTTTCCTGTGTTTCTTTCGCGAACCTACAGGTTTCATCTTCTTTAACACGTATACCCAAACGAAGTAGTTTCGGACCATCCATCGTATTATAGCCATTTTCAGTAGCACCCTCACTTTTGTCTACATGATAGTATATTTGCGCAGACTCAGCCAATAAGCCTCTATACAGAATTCTTGACTTTTGTAGGCAGTGGTATCCACCGTGACGTGTTGCACAGCACTCGTGGCTGTAAAAGTATGGCTCCATACGTGATTTTACGCTTTTTTAATGTGTCTTTCATGCCAATTTTTTCTCGAAATAAATCTCAGACTAGGGTAAATCCTGCCTAACAAACGTTACCCTTCAGTAAAATAGGTTGGTGGGAGATGTCCATCGCCTTGATATAATCGAACGCTCGAAGCTCGTTACTGCGATTAGCACGATAACAAGATGATCGTGACGGCGCGACATTGTCGACAGTGCTTCTGTCAAGGGAGTTATTTAACATATATAGCGTCACTATGCCGGAATTGGGTGTCAACAAGGGCCCAAGGGAAGTGAGCACGCAGCAACAAACGCCTTAGTGTTGTCGTGCACCTTATGGGTTCCGAAAGTAAGCATAATTTTCCTTTTAAATCATTATTGCTACATGGTGTTACGTTTTTCTCGTCTTTTACGCACCTGTTTGCATTAAATTGAATTCTTTGGAGATTAAGTTCTACAACATAGGTCAACTTTCATTCGGAGCGCTTGAAATGTAGATAACTGTAAACCGGGAGTTGTGATGGAGTGGATAGCTGTTCAATTAGGTTATAATAAATTTGTCTTGAAATGATGCAATAAATCAATTGGTTGCAGGAACAGCACAACCTAGAAGTAGTTACTTCGTAACTACGGAAGCGAAAAAACAAGGAAAGAAAAGAGGGCCTACCAACTTGCCCAAGCTTCCACGCTTCATAAAATCAATTGGTATCTTTATCTACAAGCTAAGCATATGATTTCACATTAAGCGATGAAAGCGCGAATCGTTTTCGCGTCATTCGCAATGCTTTTGCGCATACGACAAGCGTCCACTCTGGCTGTTGTTGTTACCGACGAGCAGAACTTCTTGGTCTAACTGGTGCAACTGTACAGCGCATGGCTTAAGGAATGGTATACGAAAATGCCGGTGAATTGTTACCTTCGTTCAGAGACAACCGCAACAAAGACTGCAGCGTCAACTTTGTGTTATCATCAATATAAAGCTCTAAAAAGGTATATTTTACGTGTAAAATTCCTTGTTTAGGTTCAATAACACTGCCAATTTTTGTTGCGACGAACATTAGGTGTTGCTAGCGTGCCTTGCATGGGGCAAGGTTTTTTTCTGTTCGTTTTCATAGCGTCTCGTGTTTATACAAAGAGAAAAAAAAACGTGCGATATAGTTATTCGTAGATATACAATATTCTCCTTCTCATCTTAAGTACCCCTGAAATAATCAATGGCGCTCCTCTAAAATGGCGGAGATATCAATTACGAGACTACAATGCCAAGTCTCCCCTCCCCTGAATTTTTATCTACATAGGTCTGGTTTGGCACAGTCTCCCTTATACCTCCACTGCAACAAGAGTGAATCCCTTCATCATTCCTTCTTAACATGCAGGTTATATACAAATCAAAGGAAGAGACTGTTAGAAGAACCTCTCCATAGGTTTGCTCTAAATTTATCCCTTCTAGTGGTACTTTCCTTTGGAGCAACTGAAAATGGATTTAGCCACAGGAACGTTTGCGAGGCCGTATGCGATTTTCTAAAGGCAATAAAACGAACAGAACGTTAAGCTGAGGCATAAATTCACTTTATTTCAAACCATATTAGCTTGTTCGTTTTTTGCTTACATCTATTTATTTTATTTATAATCTACCAATTACCAATTGGTTCTTTGTTTAAACACCCTTATCTATATAACCCCGCTGGTTAAACAATTTCATCTTACAAATGAGGCACCGTCCGCTTCATGGCCAATCCCCCGTGGTGAGTTGCGCCGGGACTCTGAGGAACAACCAACCAACCAACCTTCTTAGAGCTGTATGTATTGTGATGACATGGTTGCGGCCAGACAAAGAGAAAAACGAAAGATTTTTGAGTGGATATAAGGACGAAATGTAGCGGGCACGTTTTATAATAGAATACTTATTTTGTGTCGAATTTGGCGGTCTCCCCCTTTTGCTCATATCATAATCAGGAAGAAGTGGTCTATATATTTTTTTATCCTGTCATTGTGTCACTAATCAAAATGAAGAGAGAGAAGTACTTTTTGGCCCTCTTGCTGTACTGACCTTGTCACCATGGGCGCTCGAGATTTCTCGCGCTCAAGGGTGTGTGCGACCCAGGGTGCGCAATTTCTAGCGTCCTTTCGGTGCCTGCTTTAACGGCGATTCGGTCCTGGGATCTGGAGCACTTCAATCGAGCTTCTCGATTTCCGAGGCAGACATGGTGAGAGGGTGAACAAGTGGCTGTACCAATGTACAAAAATAGCGAGCAACCATGGTACCATTTCGATAGAGCAACTGAACTCTCCCAGTTCATGTTTTTCTTGGCAGGCACAATAATTAGTTTTTTTTTTTTGATAACCACAAGGAAAACCATTCGTGGTTGGGTCAATCAGTGCTTAAAATATTTGAATGTCTTGGTTACTCCGTCCCGAAAAAGAAGCAGCTTGAGCTAACGCTGCTTCTCAAAGCACGTCTCTTATGAGACGTGCACGTATATTGAGCTTTGGAAAACCACCAACTCTCCCATCAGAGAGCGATACTGATGGCCACTTGCTGAAAGGTATTGCTGATTAAGTGTATCGCTTCCTCGCCGAAAAAATAGACCGATGCATAGTACCCGGCATAATTTGTAACTGGCGGACCTTCAAGACCGTCAAGACGCAACGTATATCATGTCGTTATTCATTCGACTACCGAATGTAAACAATTGTGTGCGTGTTGAGGACTACAAATTTCTTTTTATTCGGAAAATTTTCGGAGCCTTCCACTGTTGTGTCTCTCATAATCATATGGTGGTTTGGGGACGAGAAACCCCCCTTATCAATCAATCAGTTAATCACTTTTTTACTGGCAATAGGGTTTGGGCTGCTCAAACAGCTTTTTGCCAGTATGTCCCTCTCCCCTAAATACCGCAAATATACATTGTGGCTAAAATATACACAGCACAATATCGTCACTAATGAGGAATAAAGCTTGTATATGGTTCACATAGATTGAAAATTTTTGTTGGGTCTTATGCTAGCTCGTAGAATAAGTGTACAACAATTCAAGTGTGTGGTATAGCAATATCTTGCGATAGAATTAGCATCAAGCTTCTGCTTCCATCGGCGCCGTGCTTCGTCGCATGGGCTTAATGGCGATAACTAGACTTCAAGAGCGAGTAGTTCTTCCTGGCTAAAGGTGCACTATTCTGGACTATCATCAGTGTTTTTTTTTTGTTTTTGACATCTATGCAAAGCCTTGAAAAGTGTTTCATTTTGTTTTACGCAATGTCGCTTTGGACCACTTTGTCTTTAGGAAATTGATAGGGGTCCGGTATCTTCATTTTATGTGTACTTTATTTCAATAATACCGTGTGTGAGCGAACGGAGGACATGGTACTGTAGCGCTAAACTCGACAAGAATTTCTGAGAGAGAAAAAGCAGTAGGAAAGTCAGCCTCTTACTCTTTGCAATCGAGTTTTGTCATTGAATATCGGAGCAACAGCAACTGCAGACTCAACGCAACTATACAGCAACTGCAGACTCAACGGACAAAACTTAAGTGTGGAACGTAAACGCGATCACAAAGCAACGAAGACATAAATTAAACATTTTGTGTGAGACCATGTTTGTTGTTTTGGTCACGATTGTTAGCGCAGTGCTGGTTCATCAATGTGAAACAGGTTTATTCAAACAGTTGAAGTATGTGGCTTATTTTTTATTGCAAATTGCCTTTCTGACTTCATTTTACCATTAGGACTAGCCGTATTTTATCTAGAACTCTTCTATAAGTTAAAGATACTGAGGTGTCCTATACGTTCCAAAGAAATTTAGCCTGATTTCGGTTTCTACATCTGCCTCCTTAAAAAAAAACACCACAAAAATATTATTTGTTGTACTTTGCAAAGTTGGTTTTACGTTAAATTTGAAGCTAGCAGAATGGTATCAGGCCTATTTTGTGTTTTACTGCGTTTTTGTTAGGAATTTTAATGCCACCCTTTTTTTGTGTAATGAGCTAAGCCAAAGCGATCGGTATTTAAGCTTATCCTTTGACAGGATATCACAAATACTAAACGGCTTAATTTATACTTACATATAATTACTACATCAATGCTCCTCTTTTAAAACGCATCGCACTGATGGAAGAAAATATTTTATAGTTTGACATTCCAGTGCTCTGAACAAACAAATAGGTAAAGACCTCATTCATTGGATTGAGGTTCAATGAATTCACTGTCACACTTTGGTTAGTGCGCTCAGTTTTCCGCACTAACAAAACCAACATTGTTGTACGTTACTTTCGTTTTCGCACAGAAATTGTATCCGTTTTACGTTCGTTGCGCCACTGGTATGTGTGTTCTAGTTATCTAAACAAAGATTACAAATAAAAAAATTACTACTGGTCACAATCTGAATTCGATCAGAAATAATCATTCTACTTTTTTGGCAGATCATGTGTGCTATAAAGACCTACGAAGAGGTCTCCAGTAGAGGGCTATCAGTACTACTTGTTTAGTGCAAAAGAAACACTCCTGTGGAAGGCTACACATTGAATTTAGTGAATATTTTTAGCACTAGTAACCAACAAGGAAGCAGCGGGAACACCAACCGTGGTGGTGTAATAGTTATGTCGCTTGACTGATTACCCATATGTGGCGGGATAGAATCACGGGTGTGGTATATCAACATTTCTATAGATGGGAAATGCCACAGTCCTACACAATTTCACAATTGAGTATGTTAAAGAGCCTGAAGTTTTTTTCCGGAGCCCTCCACTATATGGTTTGTTTCATCACAATATCGTGGTTTGGGAATGTAAAGCTCTAACAAACGGATAGCGGGTAGGAAGAGTACACGTTCCGTTTTTTTTTTCGCTTTCCAGAAAAACAACAACACAAAAAAAAAACAAAGCAGCTCTCAAGTTTTTTTTTGTCAGCAAACATCCTTAATTTTGTCTGTACTACAGTCTGCCACTGCTTGAGGAATCGCTAATTTTATCATCTAAGATTACAAGAGTACCGTTGTCCGCGAAGATTCAAAAGAAAGAAAAAAATTAACTAACCGTAACCCATAAAGTACTGTTGCCGCGTGCTCTCATTCATGCAGTCTTTTGGATATTCCTGTCCTCAAAGGGCCTTGCGTTGTTTTCTCATCAAATATTTATAGCTTTTTAACAAATATCGGGCACATCGTGAACACATTATGATTCTACTTTATCACCTGGGAGCTAGAGCTTGCTCGCGTGGCGAATGTCTCACTAGCTAATGGTATAGACGCCCAGATAGCGGTGTGGAGCTTTCGTTTTCCAAATTCGCCCAGTCCTTCACCGGTGGCTTTTGCCCGCGGGAAATCGTGTCCAAGAAGATAACAAGGGCGTAGCGGCCTGTCCACCAAGGTCTCCGCGAATTGCGCTCCACCGACCAAGCCCCGAAACGACGCTCCGAACACGTCGCAGCGAACTGATCGACTGCGCGGCTCTTATTAACAAGACCTTCAGCGCTTTGACACGGACGTGAAACCGAAACAAAAGCTAATGCAGCAGCTCCCCATCGACAAAGCTGATAAGGAAACCACGCTGAAGTCTTTATAGCGGTGACCTCCGAGGCTGCAGCTGGTGCAGGCGTGGTGAAATGTGGGGCGACAAATTACATAAGCTTCTCATTTTTTTTTCTTCTCCGTTTTATTCGTGTCTTGCACGGTGAACGCGAAGGGCTGGTAGTAATTTTTTCTGCTACATAGAAAACAAATGCACCTTGTTCAAGACTCGTTGCTTTTGAGCCCCTTGACGCACAGTACTTAATATATAACGTCCTTTATTATTACACTTTTATTCGCATAGTTTACGTTGACCCTTGGCATCTGAAGCATGCCTAAACAATAGCGTAAAACGCGACGCATTTGATGTTGACCTGTGTGTAAGTAAGTCGTGCGTAAGCCAACGACACCACAATAAACTTCCTGCCAACCAAAACTGAGGTACTAGACCTTGCAATTTTGTAATATGCTTCACTTGTGTAGTTTCTGAAGGTGTTTACATTTGTGGTCATTTCTTGAATCGCAGGGACGGCGCAGTCTGCTGAATTGGGAGAAGAGGGAACGCGGCTACGTCAGCTCTGACGTTCGAGTCGGCCTCTGTATTCCCTCTCGCTGCAGCGCCCATGACGTTTCACATCTGGCTAACCTAAGTGAGCATACTTTTGTCAGCATTGCTTTTTTTTTCTGCAAACATTGCAGTCCTGCCCCTACGTATTGTACGCTTAGTAAACTAGAGAATCAACGAGAAAAAAAATAGCAAAAAAGCGCTTCAAATGCACCCGTCGGCATTAACTTTGTCATTTCTTTTTCTTTTCATGTTCTAGTCGTCCAAGAATATGGCGCCCGAGCTGTCGTCAAGAACTGCAGAACCAACGAGTCATTTACCATGTCAGATCTCCAGGTCGGAATTCTGTAAGTTTTTGGTTCACCCACTTGTTATGTACAGTCAATGAGACGATGTACCCGAAGGACGCAATTGCTCATTCGTCACCATTATGCAATGCCAAGGAAATTAAATGGAGCAAAGGAAATCACAGGGGAAAATCTATGAATCGTAATTCATACGCAGGAAAAGCGCCCTTGTTTCGCGTTATTTTTCTTAACGAAAGCACGGTCGTTTAGGGGATAATTTGACGCAGAAAGTAAAATCAAAATTTAGGTCCTTAAAAAGACAACTTGCTCCTAACAGGAGCCGAACCCGCACATCCTAAGTACGTACAGGTGCTCAAAAAAAAAAAAAACGAAGCGCGCAAGCTGTGGCAGTGCAAGCAAGATCGCGAAGGGGGAAAAGAATGAAAAATGACGGAGAATGGGTAAAAACAGAAACCCCTTGAATGTTCGAGGTCAATTCGCTGCAGCACAAGCAAATTACTCACGTTATTTGCGTCTAGGTGCACAAAATTCTACTTCGTTTTTTTTCGCTTTAAATTCTTTTTCTACACATGTGGCAACGTTATTCGTTCAACCCCGAAAGCCCCTCCTAATTCCTTTCATTCCGCGACACAGCAACAGAAATGACAACATACTATGAAAGATTAAAAAAGGAGAAAAATCCAGAATAACAGCATATTATCTTTCACTTTGAACTAACATAGCTTTACTTGCAATATTTTATCTCGGCATCATCCTATTAAAGCCCGCAATGGCTCAATTTAGGCGACGGATATCCGCGACTGACTGCTGTCATTTACTCGTTCTCTTGAACACTCCTATGATTTACGAATGAAACGACATTTACTGTGGAAAAGCAGTCAAACAAAATAAGCTACATGAATACAAGCTGCTGCTTTAGTGCGTGTGCGTGCAGGGAGTGACCATGCGATCGCCTATGACACGTTCGCGAATCGAGGTGTCACTCAATCTAACAAAACAAATTCATGATGTAAACAAGAGGTGAAGGGGTTCCGTGCACCCGTCAAGAAAGAGTGCCAGTAATATTTTCCACGGAACGTATGACATTGACATCTTCACCAATACGAGCTTTACAGTAAATGAACAGCAATTAGAGTGACATAGGAGGGAACGCGTGTGCAAAGAAGCTAATAAATTCTTCGACGTTGCTTTTAGTTCATTTCTAGCACAAACATAAAGTGCAACTTTTCAGTTGTCCGGGCTCTGTAACTATATTTGTCGAAATGTGAGCTTGCATCTAAGCAACACTTGTATACACTTGTTTCCTTGATGTATCACTGCGCGTACTTTCGTTTTTCAGGTTCCGTAACGGCATTGATTTCCCTTCTCGTGACGCATAGATCTTAACACTCATAAATTTAGAGATAGGCGACTTGATTGCTCTTACTTTAAGCTAATAATAGCTGAGCCAAAAGCAAGAAAAAAAAGAAGCGCGGGGTGAAAGATTGAAAGACAAGCAAAATTTCTCGTCATACACTCTCACAATGAACCGTATAGCGTCCATACATCAAGTTTCGTATCTGTCCACATATAATATTTTTGTGTGTGTTTGTGTTTACTTGATCTTTTTCCGCCAAAGAACGAAATCACTCGACTTAAATAGTCCATCAATTAAACATTCGATTAGGTTTGATCAGCTATTTTTTCCTCATTTTGGCAAATGCATTATATTTGCCTGCAATGAGAAAAAAAAAACCTAGAAAGTTTACTTGTGGCAGCTTTCGAAGAAACAATGCTGCTTGCTGTATTTTTTTCTCTTTGAAGCTTACGTGCTTATCACGCAATGACAATCTAGAAATTAGGATGCTCCTTGAACACAATACAAAAAAACTTTAGTTAAAATGGTGCTGTCATCGCAGTTTGCTAAAATTATAATACAAGGTTAACGTTCAGGCAAACTTTCAACGGAATTGAAATGCAACAATCTCAAGTTACGATCTGCCAATTTCATGCGCTTTTTCCAAGAGCTGGAAATCTGCAACAGAGAAAGTTCTAGAAAAGTAAATGAATAAAGAGCAACTAACATATGCTTCATGTTCTGGGCGTATGACACCAAAGAGGTGCCACATAAACACAGGACCGTCCCAGTGAATTCTTATTCTATTCGTGATAACAGAGCATTAGGTTTTTAGGGTGAGCTGGCGATTTGTGCTATGTTATGGAAGGGTTATACGAAAAAAAAAAGATGAAATGAGATACTCGGAGGCGTGCGCGGTTCTTATTCGGTTCAGTATGCAGCAAAAGAGATGAAAAAACACGAAGAGAAAATTTCCCCACAAGGTTTATTTGAAGTTCTCTGCTTCGTGGTTTTATCACCTCAAATGAGAGGAGAGATTTATAAAACGAAGTAATCTTTCGCAGGTGTGCTCTCGGAGGCTCTGTTGGGCTCGTGATCCTAGCAACACTGGTGGAAATCTGCCTCTTTTGCTGCTCAAACCACAAAGTGTCGGACCCCAAATATGACGGTGAGTGCACTGTAGTGATGCCATATATCATTGTGAATCACATGTCTTCCGACCGCAACAACATATTGCATGGTGGCGTGTACGTGTGGCAAAAAAATTTGCAAACCAAAAGAATTAAAAAGTAGTACAAAATGCTAGTAGCCCCCTTGTACTGTGATCAAAGAGGAACGATATTAATGTTGTATACATACATTTCAAAAAATAGAAAGCTGGTTTCTTGGTCAGGTGCGCAAACCTCCTTTAGCATGTCCGTTTGAAGAACTATATATCTGCCATACCACCATGATATCAAGATGCATTTGTCACAGCGACTGTGGTCGTGGCATATATATGACAAGCATCTGTAGGTCGTTAAGACACGTGCTTTTTTTCACAGTGTTCATCTTTGCTCAGTAACCTTCCTGATGGTTTCGTTCAAATTATATTCAAACTTTTCTTAAATACTTCCCAATGAATGAGTGATTTCAGCAGTCTTTTTTTTCTTTTTCTTTCCGCTTGGTGTTACGTTTTGAAGTTCTATGATACTTCACGGTGCCCAGAATGTCACCGTTTCTTCGAAGGTGCACTTGCTGTAATGTACGCGGCCAACATTTTATTGTCTTGCCCTGTGTTCTCCACATATTTGTGTCCTGGCTGATTGAATGAGCGTGTCTTGTTGTTACCAAGCTTACCTGCTATTTGATGTTCTCACAACTCCTTCATATGATTCGCGCTCACCCAGTGGTTCCAGTGAAGGTGGTCAAGTGCTTCTCGCTGGTGCACAACACGAGGCGGCTCATCAGCACCCACTTTGACACCAACTGCCCCCGCAAGCCGGTTCGCTTCGTCTACGGAGTTAAAGTCTTCATGATGCTCTGGATAATTCTCGGCCACAGCTACTACACCTCCAACTTCCAGACACTTCGTGAGCACACGATATATTCCTTTGATATATTATCTCCGTGACCACCACTCCAAATACACGGAAACAGAACAATAGATTTTTTTCGGTAACACTCCATTGATTTTAGAGCTATATGTGGAGTTTAACATCTTCTATTTATTTTATTATGTTTGTGTATTAAAGAGAACTATGTTAAATGCTGTAGACGTTGAAAGTCAACAGTCCAGCAATGCAATTAGAGTTTTAAGAGAATTCTCGAAGATTCCAAAAACGATATGATTATTTTTTAAACTTGTGCTACGGCAGTTCTGTACGGCGTTTATTCTGACAACGTGTCGAAGGCCTAGGCAAAAATGATTAATAATGGTTAGCTCTTCATTGCGCCGGCTAGATATACCAAGAAATATCTGTTCGCCACATCATGGAGAAACTTTTCGCCGACCCACATGTGTGATCACGTGAACCACAATTTAACATGGCTGCTGAATATCTCGGAGCACGGACGTGCCCGAAAGATTCTGCCGAGTGGAACTGTGTAGAAACATAACTACCTCTAACTTGTCAATACAACAATGCCTGCTTACTGCGCCCACTGAAAAGTTTATTGTTTTTTTTTTGTTAAATGAGCATTTCATGACGATAATTACAATTTCCCTGAGTGTCCCTTTGGATACATACCTTATGTACAGAGATGGTCTTCACCTAACCCCCAATGCCGAATTTTAAAAATGCGTGATTTTTATCGCCCCATATACATGTACACATGATACTCTTTAATACAGACAGGAACTCATGGTAGCGATATGGGTAAAAATGACACGACTATAATCTACAGTCACGTACTACACAAACTGATAGGAATCGTTTGGTGAATATGAACCTGTTGGTGTCAGGGAGGCTTGTCACGTCAGGTAACAAGTCATAACTCCTGTTAAATGTGTCAAGTTAACAATTTTTGCTTTTGAACTATTCTGTGAACCTGACGACTCATTGGCTGCTGCTAAACATACAACGGTTATTATATTAGGATTTGTGTACCTAGGTTAAGCTCCGCATTTCAGCACATATTTGCGACAAAATAATGAAACCACCAGCAAACGTGGAGCAACAAGAGTCATGACGTTTGTTTGTTTGTTTTTTCCTGCTGCCACTAGACTCCGGCTACCGGATCATGGACCTGTATAGTCAGGTGCACGCGCAGCTTCTCGGCAGCGCCTTCTACGCCGTTTCCACATTCTTTTTCATGAGCGGCTTCGTATTGGCGTACTTCATGCGGCAAAGCAAGGACGAAACCATCATGCGGCCTTTCATCGCGCTCTACATTTTCGCCGTGGTGCGACGTTATCTAAAGTGAGCACACTTCTTTTTCATTTGCATTGTCCTTTATTTTCTTTTACGCGTGTCGTATGATCATTGTAAAAGTTAAAAATGTGTGCAAAGTGTAGTCAATTCAATCAACTTCTGGTCATCACAGCATGAAGTTCCGCATAGCAGTCGTGTATATTTTGTAACTAACACAAAACAATTCAAGCGAAAGGGTACATATATCTGGTTCATTCACTGATCAAGGCTGACCTTCTTTTTTTCTTGTCTCGCCCAGAGAAAATACTTATAAAAAGCTTGAAAAAAGCGAGAGTAAGTTCTAATCTGTAGCGCAAGTTCACTTGTCTTTGTGGGCTTGTTTTACATGACAGGTGCTTGTTTGTTTGTCTCTCTCATTATTTTAATTTCATTGTCACTTTGTTCTGTTTAAATACTACTCTTTCTCCTATATTCAAACCAACTATGTGACATTTTTGAAAAGCTACATGGCACAACAATATCAGTGGTTTTAATATATACTTTTCTTTGCATTTTCTTGTGCACAGTACGTATGCTGGCAGCCACCGTGGTAGCTTAGCGAGCGGAGGTGTTTCGCTGCTATGCTTGGCAACATGAGTTCGATGCCCGGCCACGGCTGTCGCATTTTCATCGGGGGGAACTGCAGGAACACTCGTATGCTATGATATACGTGCATGTTGCAAAACCCCAGGTGATCAAGGTTAATAAAGAAATTATCATGTTAGTACTGGTGAAAGGAAACCTTACGTTACGTTTTGTAGGGGAAATACACTTCTCCGAACCTGATGACGAACATATGTAAGATGTAACGGAAAGTGAACCCTCGTCAAGGTGAGCTTCGTTATGGTTAGTGATGAAGGATAGAACTGAAAAGGAAGAAAAGGGGGATAAAAATAGTGAAACAGCATAACTGTACTGTCCTACTGTGCATTAATGAAGCGAGCAATTCGTAATTCCATGAGCCGTATTTGCGAGCAAGAAGTGTTTGATGTGCGCTAAAAATGCTTATGAAAACTTCGTGTAAATCCTCGTGATTCTAACACAAAGTGGAAGAAAAAAAAGAAAGAAAAGGTGCCAGCGAGATAACATGAACACAGAGAGAGAAGGAAAATATCAGAAAGGCGGGGAGGTTAATTAGACTGAATCCAGTTTACTACCCTACATTGGGAAGAGAGGAATGTGGGAAAAAACGAGAGAAAGGAGGAAATACACATTCCACGTAACACGCACACCACACACACAGTTCAAGTTTCACAGGTGGTCGCTCAGTGACGTTGCCCTCAAGGATTCTAGAAGGGCTCGTGTGGCTGTCTGGGCTGAAGTACGTGAAGGCCACGCTCCCAAGATCTTCTCCAGAGTAAATGCTCGATCATCCAGCCTTCTTAAGGCACAATGGAGGGCCCGGCAGTCCTCTTTTAAGTCTGGACAATATCACAGGATATTGTCGAGAGTTTCTACGCAATGGCAATTATCACAGTTGGGGGAGTGGGCCATACCAATGCTATGTCTTAATGAATTGGTGAAGGCAACACCGACCCACAACCCACACAGCATTGTAGCGTCCCGTCGCTAAGTCTTTGATGGCAGCTGCAATTGAAGTAATGAAGCGAGGTTCCGCGGGCGTCGAGTGGTGTTTAGTAAAAGATTCCAATGCATGAGTGTGATATTATGCGTGATGCGGCGAAGTTCTTTTGCGGCATGAACCCTTGACAGAGGTATGAGCAGTGGGGGTGCTCCGTCGGGGCACAACGGGCAGCGTTGTCGACGAGGTGGTCACCACCAATCCCACAGTGACCAGGCAGCCATTGTAAGATTATGTCATGTCCTTTGTTAGTGGCGCGATGACAGATTTCTTTATTTGAGATACCATGTGATGGTAGTTCCCGCGTCGTACGCATACATTGAATGGCGGCCTTAGAGTCGCAGAAGATAGCCCATTTAGCAGCGCATTCTCGCATAACAAATCTAATTACGGCTAGAAGGGCGGTGAGCTCGGAGCCCGTAGATGTTGTGATGTGTAAAGTCTTAAACTTGGCGGTGATTGACCGAGATGTAATCACAAAAGCGCCCGTTGAACTTCCCGAGACTGAACCGTCCGCATAGATATGAGTTCGGTTTTCATATGATATATGCAAAAGGGTCAATGAGGTCAGCTTGAGGGCTGGAGATGACAGGCTGGCCTTTTTGGTTATCCCCGGGGCTTTAAGGTGTACAGGGATTCTTAGCAGGCACCACTGTGGTCGAAGTGGTATGGTTGCGGGTGAGAATCTCCAGGAGATGGAATGCTGGTTAGCCGCCGTTCACCAGTCTGGAGAACTCTGCCTTCGGTCTTTCCAGTGACAGGCTAGCAAGGTGGTGGTTAGGCAGTCTGAATATATAGTGAATGTGCGCCTGTAGTATGTCGACAGTTATATAGGTCGTAATCGGGTGGTCATTGGCAATGACAATAGTTGCGACTGTGTTAGCTCACCTAGTAATCCCAATCATGTGCGAAGAACTTGGCCTTGAATGCTTTGCAGGAGCCGGATGTTGGTTTTTCCGGCATTTGAAAGCAGTGGTGCGCTATAGCGAAAAAACCCCAAGAACCCGAACATGAACAAATTTTTCACTTCAAACCATGCTATAGACTGTACTTATCATGACCAGAGACGAGGAGTGCGGAAAAAACGAGAAAATTCTGAGAAAAAAACTGTTTTCTTTTTTTTTTTGCTTTTTGTCGACGCAGTTAGAAAAATTGGCCAAAACTTCCGTGGGGTAGACCTTAAAGAAACAGTGCTTAAGTAACAAGGAGCGTTACAAAGCCGTACACAAGCAGAATAATAGATGGGCCAATTTCCGAAGTGTGGATTCACCGAATGTTCCAGTGCTTACAGAAATGAATTCTCGTTGTCTGTAAGCACTGGAACAGCAGGTACGCTTTTCCCAATGCAATATCTTAACATGATGAAGAAAGCTACAGAGGAAGCCAGTGATACCAACTCTGAATAGGAGTTTAAACTTAAGATTTTTAGCATCTTGATGATTGTTTCCATAGTCGAAGGCACGACGAACTATAGACAATTTTGGGTGTTTTTTTTCTTCTAACAACCATTATAGGAAGCCACAACCATTCACAAAGAGCTACAGTTCGCTTGACGCTACTGCCTGCCGCCGATCTGTTAAACGCCGTATTCGTTTCTGTAAAGAACGAAATCATTTAATTTCTGTTACTTACATATTGAAAGTTATTGTTGTTGACACCAGGCAAAAAACTTTGTATATTATCACATGACAATAAATTATACCTATATGGTCAAGAAAAATTTGTTCTTTTCTATTTTTTGTCAATTTCAAAAAAAGAACATGAACAAACAGCTTGTTTTTTTCAATGGCATAAAATTTCCGGAAATTGCGTATCTCTAATCATCACTGCCAATGTAGCAAGACCATCACACAATCCAAAGGGCATTATGTCCAATTGACGTTGCAAAGGTTGTTGTGTCCTTGTCTACTTCATGCATAGGTATTTGCGAATATCGTGATCGCAGATTTACACTTATGAAAAAATTCAGCGAACTGCCCCGCCGCGGTGGTCTAGTGACGAAGGTACTCGGCTGCTGACCCGCAGGTCACGGCATTGAATCGTGGCTACGGCGGCTGCATTTTCAATAGAGGCGGAAGTGTTGTAGACTCGTGTGCTCCGATTTGTGTGCACGTTAAAGAACTCAAGCAGGTCGAAATTACCGAAGCCCTCCTCTACGGCGTCTCTCATAATCATTGGGTGGTTTTGGGACGTTGCATCTCACATACAATCAGTTGTTCAGTGAACTGGAGGGAGTCAAGGGCAACGTCAATTCGTGGCATCGGATATACGACTGCGCGCATGACTGCGTATAGCACTTGATAATCGATGCAGAATCGCAAGGAGACATCGTTCTTCTGGGTCGGCGCAACGTGAGATGACCAAGAACGGGGCGGCGGCTTTATAAAGTCGTGCTTCAGAATGTCAGTGATATCTTCTTCGATGATGTTCCGCTCCGTGGAAGGAAAATGGTGGTAGCGGTGGAGTGTATGTTGTTACGTTCTCTTGATGGTATAAAACTACAGCAGCGAAAAGCGTCAGTGAAAGATCGATCTCTCCATTCACCAAACGAGTGCCAAGACAAAACAGGAATACTTAAAACACAGTGATGACCGCGATCAGAGTTCTCGAAGCACGTCGGCTCTGCATTCGCGCACCACGTTGCATCGTAATCACGTAAGTTCTGGAATGTAGACAAAGTGAATTAACATGATCCTTCGGTATGTAAAAAAATAGGCGGTATCATTTGAGCTTCGAATACATGAACGCACGCCTCGCACCAAGCGTTAACTTCGCAACGTTTGTTAGCTGGTGACTATGACCACAAAATATAAATAGAAAAGACGTCAATATGTGTATCAGGTATTACCCACTTCAACAGTCAAAATACCCAGTTTTAAAACTTGTTGAATGTTTTTGATAAATTCTCATGTGCGCACATTCATCATTGCTCGTCGAGGGGCGCACGTGCTAGCTCATGCGCAATTATATCTGTGCCATCGGCTAGCTATAGTCTGTATTCTCCGAATGATAATTTCCGGGGTTTGACGCTCCAAAAGCACGATACAACTATTAGGCACGCCGTAGAAGAGGGCTGCGGAAATTTCGACCATATGATGCTCATCGACGTGCACTGGCAGCGCATAGAGAACGGGTCTCCAGTATTTCACCAGATACGACCGCCGCGGCGGGATCAAATTCTCGACATTCAGATCAGCAGCCGAGCACTGTGTTGTCCTGTCAAAGTTCTAGCACTTCAGAAACATATTGTAGGCTTCTGCCACAAGAGCGAAAGAGAGACACGCCTGAACGATAACCGATGCCAGCCCGGAACGTGAGCCGTGGCTTCACGTGCCACGGTCTAGCGCCTTCTTTATTTTCTTCTGTCGCCATCGCGCGCTCTCCGATTTGCGCGCCGCCCGAACGAGGGCGCTACGGGGCCCCCCGTGTAGATTGGAAGTCAGAATGTGACATGCCGTTTGTGGTATTCCAACGGAAGATCAGTCGTAGATGAGAGGCTTTCTAGGGCGGTCTCCAGGTACGCCGGCTTGAGTCGGTCCAAGCTGACTGTCTCTTCACGGCCGTTATGAAGTAGAGTGGCAGTGTTGGGGGTGCGGTGAAGGACGCAGAATGGTCCGTCGTAGGCTGGTGTCAAAGGTGGTCTGACCGCGTCGTGGCGCACGAAAACATGTGTTGCAGTGGCCAGATCAGGGTGGGCGAATATGGTCTTGTGTTCGGAAGGTCTGGGTGGAGTGGGCCGAAGGTCTTGAACGCAGTCGAAGAGGCGTTGTAGGAATTGCTGTGGCTGGTCTGGTAGCTTCGTTGACGTGAAGAAGTCTCCCGGAAGCCGTAAGGAAGTGCCATACACCAGCTCTGCTGTTGAGCACTGCAGGTCTGCCCGGATGACAGCTCGTAAACCTAAGAGCACCAGTGGCAAGGCATCAACCCAGGTGGCTCTATTGAGGCGGGTAGTCAAGGCGGTCTTCAGTTGTCGGTGAAGGCGTTCCACCATGCCGTTGGTGCAGGGATGATAAGCCGTGGTACGGCAATGTCTGGCTGCGAGGATGCGATTAAGGCAAGTAAACAGCGAGGACTCAAACTGACGTCCATGGTCTGTTGTCACGGTGCCAGGACAGCCAAAACGGGATACCCACGTAGAAATGAAAGCGCGGGCGACTGTCTCGGCTGTGATATCTTGAATCGCTTTAACGTGGGACCGGGGAGGGCGTATTCTTTTGGATGATATGTGATGGCCCAAGAACTCGAGCTCAGATGCGCCGAAAGTACACTTAGAGGCGTCCACAACGAGGCCGTACTGCTGAAGACGTTGGAACAGAGCGCGTAGATGGTGCTCATGATCTCCAGGTGTGCGGCTGGCGATGAGGACATCGTCAAGGTACGCAAACACAGTAGGAAGACCCCGTGTGACCTCAGACATGAACCTCTGGAAAGTTTGAGCCGAATTGCGGAGTCCAAAAGGCATCCACACGTATTCAAACAACCCAAAGAGCATCGTGATGGCGGTCTTAGGTATGTCGGCGGGCTCGACAGGAATCTGGTGGTACGCCTTAACAAGGTCCACTTTGCTGAAAATTGTGCAGCCGTCGAGGCGCGATGTAAAATCCTGGATGTGAGGTAGAGGATAGCTGTCGTGGACAGTCTTGGCGTTCAACGCTCGATAGTCCCCACAAGGACGCCAGTCATCAGGATCACGCTTTGGCGCCAAATGCAGCGGGGAAGCCCAAGCGCTTGACGACGGGCGGATAATGCCGAGCTGCAGCATGTGGTCAAACTCCCGTTTAGCAATAGCTAGGCGGTCTCCGAACAGGCGGCGTGGTCGAGCGGCTGCCGGTGGACCCCGTGTGACGATGTGGTGTGTCACCGTATGTTTAGGAGGCTGAGTGAGGTTGCACGGTTTAGTTAACTCCAGGAAACTCGCCAAGATTTTTTCAAACGGCCACGAACATGGGGGTGTACACTTCGTGGCTCGGTGTCGGAAACGCCGGTGGTACCAGCAGAGGGGTGGAGGGCTGGGACCCCGAGCATCTCGTGTGCGTGGAAGAGCGCGACGACCGGAGCGAGGTGAACGGGTCTCCTGTAGGGGACTCCGGAGTGCGGCAATGGAAGCGGCGAGTTCGTCGATGCGGGCCTCAAGGCGCGAAATCGCTGTGTCTGCTGGTGGTAAGACAGCGTTGACAGATGGGGAGGTCGCTTCATGTACCTGATCGGCGAGCTCCGCCAGGCGGTCGAGATTGACGTCGCCGGCCGCCGCGAGGACGAGGCGGATTGGCTGAGAAAGGCGTTGGAGGAAGAGCTCGCGAAGCAACGCTGAGTGGGCAGAGACGCCGTGTTTCCCAAGAAGCTGTCGCATTCGGCGCAGTAGTTGGGAGGGGCGCCTGTCGCCAAGGTCCCCCTCTGCAAGGAGCTGCTGTAGGTGGACGCGTTCCAAAGGCATGAATCGTTCCAGCACCTTGGTTTTAAGGTGCTGATATGGCGTAGTGTCCGAGGGGTTGGAGAGGACGTCGGAGAGCTCGCTGGCAACGTCAGGTGGAAGGACGGAGGCTACGTGGTAGTAGCGTGTCGTTTCCGAGGCGATGCGGTACAGGGAGAATTGCGCCTCGACCTGATGAAACCAAACTTGCGTGTCCTGTGGCCAGAAAGATGGGAGACGCAGTTGCACGGCCGAGACGTCCTGCGGACGTGAGGTTTGTTCGGTTGAGGGCCCATTCGAGTCAGTCATTGTCTTCGTCCGGGTCACCACTTGTAGGCTTCCGCCACAGGAGCGAAAGAGAGACACGCCTGAACGATAACCGATGCCAGCCCGGAACGTGAGCCGTGGCTTCACGTGCCACGGTCTAGCGCCTTCTTTATTTTCTTCTGTCGTTGTCGCGCGCTCTCCGGTTTGCGCGCCGCCCGAACGAGGGTGCTACAATATATTGTGAGTGTTGAGGTTTCACTACTAACGGTCTGCAATGTTTTGCAGGCTCTGCATGCCCGTGCCCATTATGAAATAGAAAGTGCTTCCGTCAAAAGCGTATTTCGTTACCACGGTATGCCATTAGCCGTATAATGCCTGCGCAAAGTGCCAGTCTTGTGACACATGGTCGTATAGGCGTTTCGTAGCACCTAGCAAGTGTCGTAACCAACGTCCACCTTTTGCGTGCGCTGCCTTTATTACCCGTTCTAACGCGGCCGACTCTCGACGAGATACAACTCCGCCCACGTCGAAAGCGACGCATGGCGCATGGTCGACCTGTTGCCATTGTAAAAATAAAAAAAAAATACCGCTCTTTCAGGTAGCCAGCTGCTGATTATTAAATGCACCAAACGCACACTCCGTCTGGCGATGCGGTTACTTTGCTGAATGGAAGGCCGACGCGTAGCCGCGCGTGACTGACGTGCTTCTGTGTGTGCTGCTAAGCTGCGCTGGCGGACAGCATCTATATGAAGGGCAATCAGGTTGATGTACGACCAAAAGCCATTCGCTCGCTTTCCTCGCAATTGATTCGCACTAAATACAACATGAAAGGATTTCCGTGCCTGCGTAATCGCTCAAATGCTAGAAATTTATCCGCAATGATGTATTATCGCTGCGCTACGTGGTGAATGAATTATTCCCTATAGCATAAGCATAACAGTGCGTGAGTTGCTTGATCGTTGACAAGCACATAGCATGCGGCCTGTCATACTCTGCCTCTGATGGGTTACTAAGGGGGTCTCGCGAAATCAGCATGCGTCTCTTATGACTTACAATGTACCGTTAAAGATAAGAGGTGTTTGGTATAGTTGGACGCGTAGTTGAAACAACCACGCTTAGTGTGTCTTCTTGTTCTCTGTACTGCTTATATAAAGTATAGATAGAAAGTTGATTTATAAGCTGACGGTGCTGTGAATGGGCTGATTTGGTCCACGTCTTTGATAAGCCGCAGTTACCGGTCTTTCACGTTAGGAGTTTTGCATAAGGGCAGCATTCAATATTTCTTGGCTAAACTGCACATGTTTCCAGGTCGAGACAGGCCTCTCCAGACACTTGCGAGACACTTGAACATGCTTGCGTTATTGTTGGAATTTAAAAGAGGACAAGAGATTTGGTATTGAATTCAGCGAACCTACCAAGCACAATCAGCCACATATTTCCGCAGGCCCTACTATGGCTTCTGTCGTAATCATACCGTGGTTTTGGGGCGTAAAACCCCCCATCTTATTATTATTCTTTCACCTTATTCACATCCCGTAATGTGAGAATCCCATGCATTCCGATCCTTGCGAAGCTACGTAATAGTAATATGATCCAGATACACAAGCTGGTTTTGTAGCATTTGCATCACTTGGGATGGCAACTCGCACTCTTGATAAGTTAACTGTAGAAAATGCACACTCATTTATTTTGTTTTTGTATTCATCTACATTTAAGTCGGCAAATGGTGCTAGTACCTAGGAACAACCTGTCCATCTTTGACCTCTCAGGTTGACGGTACCGGCAATGGTGGTGGTACTCTGCTTCTTCCTGTTCCCGCTGTTCATATCGGGACCTCAGGACCAGGACCTGATGGGCCAGGAGCTAGAAGGCTGCAACGGGAACTGGTGGACCATTATGGCCCAAATAGTAAACTTTGTGCCTACCGAGAAAAGGGTACGCTTGCTTAGGCTCGATCATGCTTAGACCTGACCCCTCGTTGTGTATAGGGCACATGACCTACAGTACGAAATTGCTCAGTATACGAGTCTAACTTGGTGCAAAGGTTGCACTCATGAAAGGGCAACTAATTACGTATGCGAGCAAAGCTGGTGTTTGACGGGATGACCAAGTTTTTCCATGATACTTTTATATGTATTTACAAACACCCTTGCTTTATGTTCCTTCCTTTCCTCTAGTTTTCCTAAAGTACCTCAATATCCTGGTATATACATACATAGTCAAGTAGATTCTCCGTGAGAACGGCAACAACGAAAATCTCTCTTACTAACCCATCTATGGTTGCAAGCCCGACTCGTCTAAAAGCCACCTCATACACAACTAAGAGTCCCCGAACAAGGATTCTCAGAAAAAAATAGTATTGACTTTAAACGCATATTCCTTTCGCTTCGCGACACTGCCTGGTGGTACCCACTCAAAGCTTTTCGGCCCGTGACGTCTTACTGGGGCCTCGGGATGCCAACTGACAGTCACACCACAGCCCAGGCGATCGACGCCTGATTAGTGACGATTGGTCCAAAAAGAAAGAGCTTCCACGACACGCGATTCCTTACCTTGGGTGGCCACCCTCTACACTAAAGTGAGCGCCACCCAAATACAAGGAACGCAACGCTTCTCAGCAAATAGGCACTCACGACGCCACTCGAATAGCGCAGTGAACCCTGGATTTTCTGTTTTTTTAATCTTTTTTGTCGTTGCCATGCTTTCTTTTTAATTTTCCCGCACAAAATGTGATAAATGTGAGAACGTGCAGCATGTACCCTCATTCCTGACGAAGGCCTGACTCTCACCGAAACTGTTGAAATTAACGCTTTCGTTGTTACCGTGCTCACGGGGAGGATGTACTTGACCATTTTCAATGCTACGTTCATACCTGCAATATATATAATATATATATATATATATATATATATATATATATATATATATATATATATATATATATATATATATATATATATATTGGTCCTGTGGTTTAGTTCTGTGGGCATGTCATGTGTGTCCTTGTCATTAAAAAATAAAATACTGGTAGTCCGTCAGACCATCAGCACGTGTTTCATGTCAACAGACTCGTTATTCGCAGTTATCGGATTGGAGATGGCGTCCGTTTAATTATAGACATTGGATGATTCACGTGAGAAGATAAAGAAAGAAGGTTCTCGGAAGGTTTGCAGATTGGGCCAGTTGGTACTTTATAATTATAATTTCAATAGCGTGGAAGAGAACACAAGGGACAAGAAAGGACGTATACAGGCGCTAACTTTTTACTGTTGAAAAAAAGTGCTTACCTCCATCCCTTCTTGTCTCTTGTGTTTCTTCCGCGCTATTACGATTCTCATTAAAGTTCAATCAACTTGCGTAGGAGATTCAAGCAAAAAAAACTACATTTTGCACGATCTTGACCCTGAAGTCGCTAATGCAATGAACGTCTAACGAATGCCTTATACTGATGCTATATTCACTGGTTAACTGAGAAATTTTGGGCAATGAAGAGACTAATTTATCATCAGACTGCACATTTTTTAGAGTAAAATCAATAAACAAGACAAAGGAAAATGGATACTGGTGTCACGCACCATTCGTCTCCCCGAAGTTTCGTAAGCGCCGAGTAAGAACGGCTCCTGCAACCGGTTGATCCTGACATGAAAGCGAATTATCAAACGAAAAGATGGCGATCTGACTAGAGGCTGGCTGTCTGGATTAGAGCAGCCATTAAATGTGAAAGATGGCGTCACGATGCTCCTATCTCATTGAGTATCAATCGAGCCACGATACTTCTTTATCACCAATGTCTGAGCTGCGCTGTATAAACCTGCAATACACTCCAGTAAACAAAGTATCTTTACGCGCGGTTAGGTGAAATATTTAAAGACAAATATTGAACACCATCAATGAAATGTTGCACGCATGATATCTAGACCTTCAATCAAGAATTATCGACGCAGCCGACAGCTGCAACGAGATGGCATTTTTTTTTTTGCGAAAGTGTGCCTCACGTCCTCACGTCAGTGTTTGGTAGTATACATGTTCTCTATCTTTGCTATCCCCTATCGACATCGCTTCTTCTTATCAATTCGTTTTCCGTACGAACTCTATCTTGAACACAGTCATACTTGGAGAGTTGTTAGGCAATAAATCGAGTCATTTTGCTGAAGCAAATAACTCACATCTACAAATTTACGACATTGAACTGAGCGATATTTTCAATGCCTTTTTCTCTCTTCGTATTTCTCTCCGCCATGTGTCCTATGGTTGCATTATATGCATCGCAATTTAGTGGCTCATACAGCCATCAGTTAACTCATCCGGGTCTATGATAGGGGTGAGTTTTTTGGAAACGTAAATATTCGTCTGGCAGGCACTGATACCAATCTTTCTTTTTACTTTCCTTCCGCAAAAAAAGTGTGATCATGATTTTCAAAGCTGGGCGCCCATTATTTAATTGCCAATGCTTTACGGAATTTTTTCTTGTGTTCGGATTCAGAGGTTTTCTGGTTCTCCTGTTTTCTTCTTGCGCAGTGTATGCAGCAATACTGGTACATCAGCAGTGACATGCAGATATTCCTTGTTGCTGTACCGATGTCCATCATATTTGTGAGGTATGTACAATTTTATAATGTAAAAGCTATGGTGGCCTATCTCATTTCAAAGTCAAACCAGCAGCATTCATTTTTCTATAAGCTTGGCAAACGACATAAACGAGGCCCTTTTATGTAACGTTAGAAACCTACACAGAGCAAAGGTACTGCTCAGATACTGCATCACTCGCATTCACGCCTACTTTTAGGTACGGAGCAGTTCAAGTACCAGGGCTTGTCATCCATCTATAGATCTCATGTGGCGTCATCACGCTCACCGTAAAGAGCTCAGTACAGGCCATAACAAAGCCAGCAGTGTTCAAACCTGCGATAAAACGAACAAACGAGTTCTAAAATAATAAATTTAACTGAAATCACCACGAAGTAAGCACCTCAATTACCCTAAAATAGCTAAACCATTTTGTAAACGTAAGGCTGACACTAGCGGGGTGCGAGAGAGGGCGCCATCGCCTCGCCGAGCGAGCGGATGCCCGTCTCCCTGCGCAGTGCCGGCGCGGTGGTGTGCCGCTACGTGACTACTTCCAATGAGAGAAACATTCTGACGGAAATCCATAAGCCACTGCAAAATCTACAAATGTCGTACAACGACTATGCCAATCTGCCTAGCAATACTGTACTCATGCCGGGGAAACACGCTATGCTTGCGGCAAACATTGACGTCATTGATGCTTTGTTAAACGTAGCAGTGGGAGCTCTATGAACGGGAATCTCTGGGTGCCCGTGCGACGCACTTTTTCAGATTTCGATGTAGTGAAGCTGTTTATAGTTTTGTTCTTAGGGAGGCAATCAGTGGGCTAATTCGTAGGGTTGACAAATTGGCCCCCGAAATGAATCACGAAAGCACAGAGAATTTCGTGCTGGTCCTTTGCGCAACGAACGCCGGCTGTAGTCCCACTAACGAGGCAGAGCCGAGAGTTCATAGCAAAACCAAACATACATTCTCGCATAAGGCAGAACAAACAACACACAAACGTGCACACTCGGGATTTATCAAATACAATACCACACCACTCGCAATATACTCTAATACATACAATACAATGGGAACACGCAACAACAGGCGCTACAATGCTATCTCGTGCATTCACAAACAGACACTTATACACTAAATGTCCATCAAACGTATTCAGTCCAAAGTTCTTAGAAAAAACCTTGAATGCTTCTATTCAAGGACACACTCACTCACAGTCCAGCACCGGTTGTTGTCCGCTACGTTCAAGGTTTCTCTTTCAGGAAATTCTCGCTTCATCAACTGGCCACACTTCAATAACAAAACTTCTTCGCCCTCTACACATCGGCCACTCACGCGGTGCTACTGCAGGTCACGTCTTCGTTCACTAGCAGAAAACACTCACTTCATCTTTTGCTTTGTCTCTGTAGGGCAAGCTTTCGTCTATTGACGAAAAACACTGCTTATATACGTTCGGCCTGGGTGCTCAAAGTTTTCAGTATTTTCGTTGGCTCACGGCACAGCCAAGGCTGGGTGGGGGCGTGACCTTTCTTGAAATTTTCGCGACTCGACTCGTGACGCTAATAGGGAGTGACTCACTCCATCCTTTTCGATATTCCTAGAGTCCGCCTGATGTTAAGTCCTAGAAGGTTCTCAGCGGTTGCGGTGGCGGCGGCCGTTCGAAGGAGAGAAGAAGAGAGCACGCGCGGCGTCTTTTTATGCTTATTTTTTCCTTACGCCGGTTTATTTCTCGACTGCTTAGCGCCTGGTTTTCACGTATCCGGAGGCTCGCGGAGGCGCTCCTCCGGTTACGTGAAAATCGGAGGCGCGCGCTTTAATGAGTTTTATTTTGTGAAAGAAGGTCCCATATTCTGTCATAGTGGTCAATTTTTATTTGAAATAATTGTTTTGTTTATAACATCAAGCGTTCGTGTGACAGCACAGGTTATCAAAATATAACAGTCGATTATTGCATTAGGCATGCGTACAAAAATGTGATAGTGGACTTTTTGGTTATGTAAGAGACATGTTCAGGTGCAGAGTTATTTACGCTTAGAAGAGGGCGAATTGCAGCGTATGCTAGCTCGTACTCTGCATCAGAATTATTATGAAGGCAAAAGGCAGGCAGTAGAAACGTCATCAAAAAATTTCTAAACCTTAAAATCAGGTGGCAGAAACTTGAGATCATGAACTTACATTTCAATAAATCTGTAATCATACTGTTCTCGCCTGTGGAAAAGTTAAAAAGAAAATTAACTGAAAAACGTTAATCATCGGGTAAAATACGCCATCATTCTTTTCATCAAAACAAATACCGTCAAAATGAAAAGTGCTGTCTTCGAGAAAAGAATCAGTGCGATGGTCTCATGAAGAAACTGAATGATTAATCTTGTACTTGTAGACTCTGAGTGGGAATTGCATGCACAAGCTGCCGCGAGATGTCTAAAGTTTGTTTCGCCACATTCTACCTAATTACGCCCGAAATAACTGTTTTTGTTAGGAATATTCGAACCAACAACACTTTGCGTGTGTTTGATACGGTTGGACAGACCATAGTTTACGTGTTGCTGGACGCTCGATAAAGGAACCCTTTCCACTGGATAAAGAAAACACTAGCCTACGATTTGGAGTGCTGCGAGAACAGGTGATGTAATTCTCTACATCACTTGGACCCTGTTCTGTTATTGGCCTCTAAAGGGGATTTTTTCATACCTCGGTAGCCCTGCTGCAATAGTATAAAGAAGTTTTTTACAGAATATGACTTGTTTGTTCACTGTGGTCACTTTATCTTTACCTCGCACGAATTTGTCAGTGCTTGGCTATCCAAGATGTTTGTGCTGACCACAAATATATTCAGGCTAATGAAGACCTCTTCTAATTATTGAATAGCAGTATCAGAATGCGTACTGATTTCATCATTCCAGGTAGACCACTGTTAATCCTACCTGAAAAAAAAGCTGATTTGCCGCAACATTGATTTTACCTAAGTGCATTCATTTCATGCGACACTTCTCAGAGCATTACTGGCTTATTTACTTGGTCCATTTGTTGTTATTTGTGTGTGGCACTGCCATGTCGGGACTACAATAGCATCGGCACAATTATCGCAGGAGCCCGGCATGTGGCTTCTCCTTGGCGCTACTGCTCAGCGTTCTGGCATCTGTGGCAGCGGGTCTTGTAACGTATATGAAAGACCTGAAACCATCTATCGCGTTCACAATCGACGACTACAGGTAACGCTTGGTTGCTTCTCTTCGTTTATAAAACTCCTTCCTGCATGTGCATTTTCATGTTTTGTACCCCGCTGAGCAAATTGAATCGCGGCACTGCATTCACTACATGTGTTGTTCCCTATTTTCTGCCCCTCTCGCCACAGCCGCAATCTGGAAACTGCCGAATTCGTCCACGAACTTCCTTACTCTAATTTGGCCACCTACTTCATGGGAATACTCTCCGGTTACTGCGCTGCTACTTGGAATAGAGCGTGCATAAACAAGGCAGGTCTTCTTTACGCTTCCCTAGTTCCACTAAACCAACTCATCCAAAGAGAGCAAATTTTAGTTCGATATCCCGTAATTTCAGAATTAATTAGTAGTAAAGGTGCAAGCAGAATATCAATTCTTGGTGTCTCATGGCTTCTGATGTAGTACTCACTCCAAGTGTTCGACACTACAGCCAAATGAATTCAACAGGCAATTAACCCAAGAAAGACATGAGGGACACCATTTCCCTTATGCTTTTTTGCCGAGATTGTCTTTTGGATACATTTGCTCGTTTCCAACTAATAAACGTGGTCCTCAAAACAATTACTCTTCTTTCTTTGCTTCAGCAGATTGCAATGTATGATAATAGACGTACTACATACAAGACTTGAAATAAGTAAATGGCGCGAGTATACTGATAAGCACTAAACGTTTCCCGCGACTACAAATATGTCCTTCACCGCATGTTGTAAACTCATTTTAGCTCATCATTCAAGCATATCAATTGATCCTAAGCTTTCGCGAAGACTTGTCCAATGCAAGGTAACAGCAATATCTCTAAAGTGCCCCAACGAGCCTTTTTTGACAACTTCCTGGCACAAAACCACCGCGCGTCTCTGAACGATCCGCCACGGTCTGGTATTCACAGGTGCTGCAGGCCTTCCTGTGGATCTTGGCGCTGTGCCTGAATGTGTTCTTGGTGTTTGTGCCGTACGCGTGGAACCGGTGCGAGACGGACGATTTGAAGCAGCTGTACGCGTCCTTTTACGGTGGCAGCTACCGCTACCTCTGGGGCCTCTCCTGGTGCTGGATCGCCTACGCATGCGCCACCGGAAGAGGAGGTATTGCAGCCAACCAGCAGCTCCGCGAAGTCCTTTAGTGTCTAGGATAAACGTGACGGAAATGGGAACATCGCATTTTAGGGCCAGTTGAATAGAATTTTCTGAAATGAGGAATCGGCAAGGAAATGGTGTCGCTTGCGCCAGGTGACCTTTTACTGTGCCTGCTGTACTAATGCATAAATAAGAAACAAAAACAAAGAAGACCATGAAGTATCAATGTCCAGCAGTATTTATCGTCTCCATCGTGCTCACTACTACTTTTCATTAGTTTCTAAACAGCGGGTGAACAGCCCTTACATAGGCTTGATAAAATACTACCCCAATAACACAAAAACAAGCTTAAGCTTATCAGAAAATACCAGCACTATCAACGCATATGTTTGCTTACCAACTAAGCACGCTACGATATCTTGAAAACACAAAAACGTGTAAGTTATCGTACTTTACGGAATAACCGATTCACAACTCGCAGGGATCCTCTCCAGATTCCTATCCTGGAATCCCTTCGTGGTCCTGGGAAGGCTGACGTTTGGCGTGTATTTAATTCAATACGTCGTCTTCATCGCCAGGCAAGGGGTCAGCACAAACACATTGCAAGTCAACGAATTTCTACAGGTAAGTCATGTGCAACTCACCCCAATAAGCTAAAGAGGAACTCTAGCGCATTTTAAGCCATATTAGACGATGCCATTTCGAAATAGTATCAACAGTCTTGTAAGAGGTAAGGTGGTTCTTTTTGCTGAGAGACACATCAACAGTTTTATGAAAGCAATAAACAATGAGTCACAGCCAAAACCGAAACAGGGAGCTCTCTGCTGGGCACGCGATGACGTCATAAAATACGCTACACGACCATGGCTGGCTATAGTGTAACCATAGTACACGTACTTTTTCTATCACGTTAAAAGCAAGCTGGCGATGTCTTCTGAAACGAAATCAAGCTATGCCGGGCCGTACCAGCAATGAGTTCAGCGATGATTACACTGCAGCTACTATCTTAGCGCAGAAGTATCGCCTTTTTATTTCAACCCGCCAGCGCGTGTACTAGCTGACGTGACCCGCATCGATCTCCTTGTTCCTCCCTATTGTGTGTGCTTGCTGTAAAATCAAATGTAAACGACGACTAACAAGCTGTATGCAGCTCGCAAAAGGGAACACCTGTGCCCGCGTCGTCGATGCCTCGTAGAGGAAAGTGCGCACTGCATCCGTGTGCTGGGCGAGGCAGGATTGGAAAAGAGCATCCAGGTTACGTTATATATACATAGGGGGTCCGCGTTTACAAACGCGGTGCCGGAATCGGCTGGCAATCATAGGAATGTTTTTCTAAAAAACTAAATGGCGTACGGTTAATTTTATGATTTGACAAATATCATCAGCGTACCATATTATACGCTGATAGTTTCATTGAAATTGGAACCGCGTTGTGTCCATTGTGTCGCATTTACTTTTACTTAGTTAGGACACTTTTTATTCATATACTTTTGAGAAAATAAGGAAGCATAACAAGAATCATAGGCTGAAGCTAGCAGTAGCGCTTAAAAATTGTGCGTCAAATAAAAAAAAACGCCAGAACTGCGCAGAAGGCACAGAACAGTCACAGCGAAAGCTAGAAGAGCGATCTTTCAGAGCCTTTTCAAAACGCATATTGTGTAAATACTGTAAGCACACTTGCTTGATATCCAGTAGACATTAATAAGAAATGTCCGGGTAGGAGGCCAGCATTCGCCATGCTATTTTTCGTCATTCTTCTGAGAAGCGTGGTATCCGCTAAACACTTGCAAAGAGTTTTGTGCCAATTGTTTATGCAGGGGCTGACGACGATGAGGAATTATGGCTGAAGTGGGCATGCGCTACAGTTAATAGGGGATCAAAAACAGGCTTTTGCAATGGGTTGGAGCATTTGACGTCCCACTCGTTACGCCGCCTCGCCGTGGTGGTCTAGTGGCTAAGGTACTCGGCTGCTGACCCGCACGTCGCGGGTTCGAATCCCGCCTGCGGCGGCTGCATTTCCGATGGAGGCGGAAATGTTGTAGGCCCATGTGCTTAGATTTGGGTGCACGTTAAAGAACCCCAGGTTGTCGAAATTTCCGGAGCCCTCCACTACGGCGTCTCTCATAATCATATGGTTGTTTTGGGACGTTAAACCCCACATATCATTAATCATCCACTTGTTACGCCATTCGCATTGCGCGACGACTAGTTGTTCTTTCACTCTTTTAAAACGCTTTATAAAACGTAGTAACGTGATTGCTTTCCCGACATCAGGCCTGCCTGAGGCAAGTTTGCCAAAAAGACGAGGAAGTACGCATACAGAGCGCTGTATACGCCCTTCTTCGTCTGATCCCTCGTTTTAGCGCCGTTTCTTTTTTCAACTATGTCGTACCAACACGCTCAAGCAACCATTTTAGACGCTATTCCCGTGTGCGCAGGTCAAAGACTCTTTGGGCATTGCCGTGATCAGCTACTTCTTCGCCTACCTCCTGTACGTAGTGTACGAGGCACCCGTGTCCGGCATAACGCGGATGATCTTCAAGTTCCACAAAATCCGCAAATCGGGAGGAGGCTCCAAGAAGCGGCCACAGCAGCCACAACCCGAGTCGCCGCCTCCAACTGCGACCACGTCCGAGCCGACCTCAAACGGCTCGGCGGCTGCGCCCATGATCAACGACTCCAACCACACCAGTACCACCATTCCTGAAGAGCCTTAGTCCGGAGCTCCAATCACGTGCCCAATCCAGGAGCGTACGGCTGTGTCACAAGCATCGGTGTAAGGAGATGGAGACACGACAGCGTGTAGTTCAGATTACCCAGCACTTTCAACCATCTCTTGCTGAACCCCAGTGGTGATCGAGATCAAGGTGTCTTTGTGAGGGATCACCAATACCAGCTACACTGCCTAAAAAGAAACCAACTTCACGTTTTCAATTAACTAGTGTATCTCAACTCTACGATGAAGTGTGGTTCCCAGTGTACTTCTGGGTCACGTTAGCGAAGTGATTTCATTTGCCTTGGTATCACATCGCTGATTAGAACTCCTTGTCGCATCCAGAACCACTGTTGGAAAGGGGATTATGAACGGCACAGCAAAACCACGTGATGTCGTGGAAATGAGTGGGATAACGTTTGTCTGCCGTACTCTTGCATGCTGCAATTAGTGGCGTGCGCCAACAAATTGAAAGAGAAAAAAAAAGTCAGGCTGCCCGCTGCTGTATCATACAATGGGCCACTTCTCAACGTACGGGCCTCTGCGTGCTGTGGGACCCCGGGAAGGCCATGATAAACGTCAATGCCATTTGCAGCATTACAAAATATTTCGTTGACGTGAAAGAATGTAGAGCTTCTCGACCACAGTGTTTCCTCCCATGCCGGATGCCAAGCACGAACACTCGTACGGCCCGCGATAGAAGCCGTGAAAGTCATAGTCCATTCCCAGGTTGCCTATATCTTTGTTTCCTCTGTGTGTGAGTGTGATGTGTCTTTCACGCGCGTTGGTGCCTTGTTTTCGAGAGTCAAGAAGACAGTTATGAGGTTCAGCTGGACTTGTCTTCAACGAGTTCGAGGTCGACTGCTCACGATGACTGTTGCAAGATGTCTTGAGGGACAAATGTATTAAAGAGTTGTTTGCTACGAAATATTGTTGCTGAACTATGCCTGCTACTTGTGCTATTTCTATTTTCTGCGCCTTGCTGCTCGAGGCTGTGAAACTACTTTTTTTTAATGAAACTCGAAAAAGATCGCTTACAGTGCGAAAACCAAAATATGCACACAGGCTGCTCCACAAAAATTTTTTAAACATATTTTGAAATGCTTCAAGGCGTAGTAACCATGCATTTACATGACTCTTCAAGATTGTTGAGCTCAAGCCAGCGACGAGTCTAGCATGTGCGTAGCACGAAAAAACGCAAAGGACGATAGCTATTCTTTGCCTTTTTTCAGCGAACGACTTCTAAGTTGATGAGTTGGGTTTCATTGCTCTATATACCTCATTACTAAAAGAAGCATTCCCTGTTTCCGAAATGATAAATCCACGCTGTCTCTCAGCTGTATCAAAACAAAGTGGTGAATAGATGCTGCATCCATCAACGTAATGCTATAGAGATGAAGCCTCGAATTGACATTCTTTCAGAGATCAGGAACACTGTAAAGGTGTGTCGGAAAACTACAGTTGCATTTGTTTCAAATGCCCTGTTCACCTTAAAAATGGTATACAACCTTGTTTCTTACCAGATCGTCCAACACAGAGTCACACACAGGTTAATGCCAGTGGGAATTGTAGATACAAATGTACAGTTACTGAAAAATAATCAAAATAGTTTGAGAAAGTTGGCTAGAGAAACATTTTATTCTTGCTGTTAAAGGCACGTTTTTCGCAAAAGCTCAATTAGGCAAGCCCTCTGTGTCATGGTGCTCGGCAACAGCAGCTACCTCGCATTTGCTAAGAAACCAGCAAAGGCGGCTTATTTTTCTACGGGAAATAAGACTAACAATCTTTTGTGGGCAGCTAAAAAGTGTGCCGCTTTTCAGGATTGTTTCGCCACCAGTGTGTTCTAAGGAGCGCACAGTTAAAGCGACCACACACTGCGTACGAACATAGTGTCGTGACTCAATTAAAATGGCACACATGATAAAAAGTTGGCATAGCCACTTCTTGATTGAGTATCGTTTTCGTTAACATATGCATCCTATGACAACAGTACATCATAGTACGACCACTGCGAGTCGTAGAAACGTTGTGGTGATGAGTGTGGCTTTTGTGTGGGGCAGTGTTCTCAGTAGAATGTCTCCTTCCATACGATGGTATTAAAATAGGTCGAAGCGTATTTTTCGCCAGTATTGTGGCAATGCTTACTTATTCGCAATTGGTATTGTTTATTTTAAAAAGAAGCAGTGCTTATACATTTGCTAAACCCCGGAATTCCATTTCTGCTACTGGAGCTCTAAATCAGGACCCGTCTTCACATACTTTGGGTCCACGGAATGACTTGAAGACGTTCAACGTGGCTACAGTAAGTGATCGCAATGGCAGAAGCCATTAGATCACAGAAGTGGTGGTGCGCCTTTTTTTAACTCTGGATATAGAAGTTCAGTCGGACGATTTCAAATTCGGCGTGCATGTCGGATGCCCAAGTACCAGTACACGCAATCTAAGCACACAGACGCTACCTGCTTGGATTGCAAGACGTATAATAAAAAGTGCGTAAAAGTTTTGGCTACTTTTTGTAGAAGCTCACCCCTTCAATATGACTGAGGCGTTCACCCAAAACACAAGCATCTTGTTGGCGTAACATGGCGGAGCAAATTTTCTCCGCCTGGTCTCTGCATATTTATGCTGCTTTTTGAAATTACAAATCAAGACAGTTTACTGACAATACGAAGTAATATAGTGATTTAACTAAGTTGTGCACGTTCTGTAGCATTTATCTATGGTCCCCCACAAGCAGCAGTCCTATATGCTGCAGTTGAAATTGTAATGAAACCAACTTTCGTAGACCAGTGTTACATCATATATTTAGCACCGGTTGAGGTGTTAATGATTCATTGCGCTCGGTGGATTGTTTCACAATGTTTTTGCCGATGTACCCAATGCAATTTTGTATAGTGCTGCTCATTTCGCTCAGTGTTCTCTAATGCTTGCTGGGTTAAGTTCCATTTATGTGCGTTTAATGTACAAGGGGTATGTGAATTGCACTCGCAAGCTACTACAAATTGAGATATCAGTACCAGTGATAATGATGACTGAAAAAAGCCTATACAATTTCACACTCGTTATTCATCAATATAAACACCTGCAGTTATAAGCAGTTACACTAAACAAATTTCGATGTAAAAAACATGTCTACATAAGGCTAAGATTATAATTCAGTGTCATGGCAGTATGATAGGTTCCCTCAAGTTTACAAAATTCAATATAGACGTGACGTAGGCTGCATCTTCTGTATCGGTGGTTCTGACCCAGTGATTTGAATGGTCGGGAAAGAACAAAACATTGTGAAGCGTCTGGCTGTCAACAAGATGAACGTCATAAAAAAGTTCTTTCTATAAGCTCCCAGGCATTCTGCGCCTCGTATACAAGCTGTAGATAGCGCAATAATGCACTGCGACGTCCCAGTTGTGCATATTTTTAACCTCTCGTGCCAGAAGTTGGCAGGCGTATATGTCAAAAAAAAAACCCAGAGTTTACATTGATGTATTGTCATTGGGCCACACTTATCACGATGTGAAATACTTGTTAGTAACAAAGACTGCGTAATCACTGAAATACGGGATGTGATAGTAGGTTAACTGTGCTTATCGTGCACCTATATACAAGAGTCTATCACTCACCTAGGCTGTGCAAACAATGCAAGCAAATAATGGTTCACACTGACGGGTGGGAAAAGCAACGTTATCTTTGCTATTTGCTGCTTATCCTTGTTTGTTAACGTTGTTTTCTTGGATACGGGACAAGAGTATTTCGCACAGGCTCTATTGAACTCTCGTTATTTATGGTCTACATTTCTTGTGCGTTTTTTGTTGAATACTGTGACGCTCAGGCGGTCTCCTGTATTGTTATGTTTTGTCCCACAAACCGCGAGAGTGTACAAATCCTTTCATGTGAAACCATGTACGTTCATTATTTTGTTTATACCATGAAAAAAATAAAACATGTTACGACATTTTTAAAGCTTGAGGTCTGTATCCTCCAGTTCTCGACAATAGCCAGTCCGAACATGTGGCAACGTTCTTAAAAGTTTTTGACTTGATCACGCTACTTATAAATGCGTACAAACTTTTCAACCGAAAGCTTGAATAAGCTTCAATTAAACTTTTACGTGCTTAGTACAAAATTGTATATTGAAATGCGACAGAACACCGACATGTCTTTCTGCTTCCCCACGTGGTTCACACAATGAGGCCAGTTTCTGATATACTTTTTTAGTCTTAGCAGAAAGTTGAAAGAATTCCGAAAGACTTTTAAATTTTCGTGGAAGCTGTATAGTATTGAGCGTGAAAAGCCACAACCTCTTCTAGTACAATATACCCGCTATCTTTAGTCATGCGCGCTATTCACCCGCTATAGCTCCATGTATGTAGACCATCATTGCTCAATTGAGAAGAAAAAATCTTACCTTTGCGGTGGCCATTCGTGTTCAAAGACTTGGCAGCCAAGGAATTTCACAAGACCGTGGCTGTTTACTTTGTCGCTAGCAATGTATTTCGAGATTCTGTATCATCACCGGCAGCCACTCAATGCACCAGAGCACGCTTTGCAATCGATTAAAGCATATAGAGGAGAAATGATCGATGACAGTCGATTACGATGCTTCTCGACTAAGCGAGCATCATCAACAGTGAAACAATAAGACAGTGCAGTTCTGTTTTAGGCAGTGTTGCATTAAAGCTTGCTCTGTTGGTCGCACGTCGCGGTGCAGTTCACGTTCGAGACAACTGCTGCCTTTTTTTCAATGTCAGTCCCATCGGTCCGGTCATCGTCCGAGGCTCTCCGGCGGCCTAACAGCATCTTCTCGAGGTTCGCCACGGGCGCCTCGGCTGCCAGGTAGAGCACGTACGCCAAGAGGTAGCTGATAGCAGACACGCCCAGGAAGTCCTTGAACTGAAAGCAAATACGGCCTCGTCTATACGGTGTCACAGTATACGTCGTGCGTATACAGCAGCTGCATGCGGCAGTGTAAAAGGGCGAGGAGGTAGCATCCGCTGCACTTGGCCGCCACAGACCCACTTTCTCCCACCGAGTACGCTGCTTTTGTTCTATTTGGTTTCATACCTTATCAAGATAGGGGGCTGGAATTTGCAATAGAGCTTAATTTTCCTTTCACCTATAGCTAGGCCGATTTCTTCTTATAAAGACAGCGCTATACCGCTCACCAAAGTGGATTACGCGACCTATTTTCGTGGTGCTGTTGTTTTCGACTTAGCACTCGCTCATTTAGCATCTGTAGGCGTATATATAATCACAGAAAAAAACAGGAATGGCATGGATATAGCACCCGTGACAAACGCCCTCGAGTGTGGTGCCACGATAATCATCGCCACTTTACAACGTTACGAAAAGGTCGTGCTTTTTTTTTCTTCAAGTCTTCGTCCGGCTGTCGCTCCTTATCTACCTGCTTTTCTTTAATGAACGATCCCTACTTAGCTTGTGAGGACCTTGAAAGCTTTTCCGGCTATTTTTCTTTCTTTGAGTCGAAAACAGTGATGCTCCGTACTACACCGAAAGATTTTCTTTAAGAGATATGAAGGTTCCCTATTTCGGGGATGTTTCTCTGCATACGTTGACACAATTCCCAGCATATTTTCCTGCACACTAGTACTGATTTCCACCCCCATCCACGCACACACATACTAAAATTATACGTGTCTCACGTACTGGGGACTTTCGAAATCATGATTAGCCCCTCCACTGCCGCACAACAAAAACATCACTTTATCACTTCATATACTGTTAGTACACTGCACATTGTTGGCTTCAAGGCCAACATCAATAGTGAACTAGAAATCACTCCACGTAAATATTAGAAACAAACTTCAGACTATGCTTGCGTGGTGCATGCACCAGAACAGATTACAGCAGATTAAAATGCACTGTGACTGCTAATTATCGGTCGTCATAGAAGAATTTTCTAATTTTGCGATTCTCTGAAATATCACAAAGATTCGCTTTTCTCCTTTGGCTCAAAAAGACAGGTGAAAATTTCTCAAAAAAGTCAAAATTCTCTGCACCCTTCAACGAGTCCGGGTGTCAGCGAAACCCTTGGTCATCTCGCTCAATCACGACAATATCATTGTTGCATAGATGCTCATGGTAATATACCATTCCCGTTCGGGCGTTTTTATTTAAAAAAGTTTCACGATTTCTTGTTACAAATCACTCCTCAGTGATTTGAATCGAGAGCTTTTAAGCCGAAGGAACAGTTTGTCAAAACCTTCAGCTTATGCTGTCTCTCTGCTTTTTGTTTCCCTTTTCGAGATATCGGTTGAAAAAGTTTTGGCAGTGGAATCAAATGTAGCGCATGAATTTTTTGCAACCAATTACCAACGTCAAGAAGTAGTTGAAAAATAGAAGGACCAAATTTAAGCAAATTCATGAACTACCCGCTATTTCCGCACTGGTTGCACTGCCATAGTTGCACTTGGCGTCACCATTTTCTTGAATACTAGTAATTTATGCTTTTTCAATACTTTACCCTATACATCAAGAGACGTTATTAAGGGCAGCAATTGAAATGAAGTGGTTGTGGGATCGGTAGTCTACAGCTGCAGTCGTCTTTGGGGCGGTTAGGGAAGCACGAGTAGCTTGTTCATTTCACAGACACTCTCTCGCTTGCATACTGGTAAACATTGCTATTCTCGAGCCAACAGTGCCGCTGGAGCGTTCCGACGAGTGCAAAAGCTTAGACCCGCAGCCGTATCGACCAACGTTTATCGTATCTATCTTCTATAGGTTGACGCGAAGTGGTTCACACACACACACACACACAAACACACACACACACACACACACGCGCGCGCGCACACACACACACACACACACACACGCACACACACGCATGCACGCACGCATGCACGCACACACGCACACACACGCACACACGCACACACACGCACACACACACACACACGCACGCACGCATACACACACACACAAAACGTGGTTGATCCCTGTGCTTAGGAATCGGTAAACGCGTCTTCACAGCGGTAGTTGTGATTTCAATGCGCGTTGTTTTGCCACAAAGGCGATGGAATGAATGTTACCGCAGCAGATTGCAATGTCACGTGAAGAACGGCAGGCAGCTCAAAAATTACAGCGCGTACTTTAAGCAGAAAGCACGCACGAAATGAGCACGGACAGAATCAGTGCGGACAAACAACTGTCACAGCTCGACGCTTAAAGCGCACTGTTCCAACAGAAGAACGCGCAAGTATACACCTAGACGAGCATGAATTGTCATTATTCTTATTTCGTGAGTGAGCAGCGCGTTCCTTCCACAAACGCGGCCGTGGCAGTGAGGGAAGTGAAGCTTCGTGCTCACTTTAACCCCTGTAACTTCAAAGTAAACTTCTTGTGGGAGCACTAGAGGTACGAAGTGCCTGAATCCCGAGATAAGCGTGCACGAGAGTGAGCGACCACGCTGAGAACATCTATACGCACTTTGACTACGCCGTGTGGAAGCGCGCACGCATCGGAACGCGTGGGGTGGCATGGGGCTTCGTCTTTATGCGCGCCTAATGTGCGACCCTCGTGCAATCTCATAGCTGATGACAACAACGCGCTGAAGTTGCTGATCTCTGAGGACCGCCAACGGTACATGATGTATTTTTATACAGGTCGCTTGGCGTAAACAAAGTAAGCAACGTGCGCGTTGTGGTCTAGTGGCTCGCGTCGCGAGCTGAGGAGGAAGAGGTCGCTTGTTCGACGCCACGCTAGAAAGCTTTTTTTTTTTTGCAATTCATTCGTATTCGCTTTACTTGTTATACCCCATGATGAAAATACGTGGAGCCGTGGTGTACCCCGGTATAAATCATGTGCACTTTCGTGTTAAAGACGCTTTCTACCGACAACATAAGTTCAGGATTACATATGGTTTTAAAGAGAAAGCTGTCATGAGATTAGAAGACGGGTCCCGTGCGGTGCCGTAGTAGTCTGCCACTGCCGCCGCCGGTGTCCGTAACCAGTATGACAAGAAATAAGAAAAAACTAAATAAATAAAATTGATAGGTACAAAACGGGATTTGAATCTGGGTCCACTGTGTGCCAGCCAAGTATTATATCACTGAACCACGCTGCTTCTTCGACCTTGTTCCTAAACAGTCCTTAGGCAGGCTTGATGTCTGGAAAAGAATCGCGTTAATATGAGTAATAAAGCACTTGATAACATGAAAGGAACCACCAGGCGTCAGACAATGAGAATTGCGTAACGAGTGCGTCGTCTAATGCTACAACGCAATAGAAAACTTGTTCTTGATCACCTTTTAACTGTGGCGCTTACTCGCTTTAGACATAATTCTTCATCGTCGTCAGCCACAGCATGAAAATACTGCACAAAATTCAGCAAGCCAAATTCATAGCATGCCTCTCCGAAGAGTGACGAAGGATAGCATAGTGAATGCGGGCCTACTACACAAAAATTGTTGTTATTTATGGCTTAGTAGGTACCCAACAAGTGAGCTTGTAGCAGTTACCCAAACAGTCTTTATAAAAGGCTCTGAAAGGCCATTTTTCCACCTTTCGCTGTGGCTGTGCTGCACGTTCCGCGCAGGCCTGGCATTTTTGTCCCATATGAGTGGTCACTGGTAACTTCTCAGATCACCGCACGTTCTTTGTAATCGTTCGGTTAGCGGTGTAACTGATGCCTTGCGTTAGTCTCAGTCAGACACCTATAGCATTCACACGTGCTACCTTCCTGTTGTGATTGGCGGATACAGCACTCGACACTCTTGGAAGATTTCCGACTTCTAAAGGTCTGACGATGACGTTGTTTTTAGTGGCGAAGCACCTCTTGGTCTACGCTTGTCCAGCGTAAGGCGTAACCAAGACAAGAAGAGACGAGAAAAACAAGGAAGCCAGTATCTCCCGAAAAATATAATAGATGGCACTGTCTCATAGAAGTAGATACAAACTTCAGTTGAGTGACGGTATTCTATATGGCGCTGTACCACTACTTT